CTCTTCAAATTGGGCAGAAGCCTGTTAATCACCCAGCGATCAAAATCAGGTGTGTTGGAGCTGGAAAACCTCTAAAACATGCAGGATAGCGGCCCTCGAGGACTGGAGTTTGACACCCCTGCTCTAAAACATGCAGGATAGCGGCCCTGGAGGACTGGAGTTTGACACCCCTGATCTAATCTGAATTCAGACACTATTACTTCAAAAACATTATTCAGTACTAACTCACTTTGTCATTTTTTACTCTAGAAATGTGTTCCTCTTGCAGATTTCTTCTTCATCAAAAGGCAGATAGTGGTTCAGTCATGTTCTCCATCACACCATCAGGTAATAAACGTCAGTGAAAGTGAAACCATAACATGTTATAATGAGATGGTTATCTTGATATAACAAGATAGTTTTCTCTTTATAACAAGATATTTTAGTAGTTATAACATATTTTCTTGTTTTTACAAGATAGTTTTCTCATTATAATGAGATCCAGTTTAAAAATAAAGTCATGTCATGTGACAGCTCTACGCTTCCTTAGATACTTGGAAAAGATCGTCTTATCTACCTCCACAAAGACCTGAAAATCAAGCCCATTCTCATGCCCCCCGCGTCAACATAATGACGCTTGACCAAGAGACCAAGGGTACCCCCGCCTGTCTGTTCTGTACGAGATGGGGCAGAGGAGGACGATGTGTTTTTACAAGGCTTGAATTGTGCGWAACTAAACGTTCTAGACCCTAAATTTAACTTGTACTAGTCTTATAGAGCCTAACCCTGAGCGCAGAGCCTAAAGCTAACCTTTAATCCTGATTCCTAATGTTAACCTCTTACGTCACGCAAACCTGGAAATGCCACAGGCAGCAAGGACGCACGCACGTCAACATATAGACGTTTGGTCGCTCRGCGACATGAGAATGTGTTAGAAAATCAACCACTTTCCCCTTTTGWTCTACCCAACGTCCAGTTAAAAGTTTGTGTTGTTTCATCGACATTGTTCAGTGTTTTTCAATAAAACAAGATTGGAACGTTGAAGGTGTTTTGTAACCGTGTAACCCCAGACAGGGTTGGTTATTTAAAAAGCTGTATTGGCTACAGTTGGAATTGGCAGGTCAGACTTTTTAAAGATCGGTGATCAGAGGTGGGACAGGAAACTGTACCACTAGTCAAAATAATTWGATTTTGGTCAACGAGATGCAGTATCCAATCAAAAAGGTTCAAGATAGGTTGATCAGGATAACAAATCTGGTCAATGAGATGTCAGATCGTCAACGGATTTACTCAACTGGATTCTGGATTCAGTCAATTTGACACAAACATTGGTCAACTAAGCCAGATCCAGTTCAAACTGTACTGAACTGATCAACAATCTGCTAAAACAAATATTATCCTCAGCAGATCTGGTCAACGTGATGCTGGATCTGGTCAGTTTTCACCTGCAGAGACTGGACGAAGATGTTCAAAGTGTAAAATGTGAACATAAAACAACACAGTACCATAATGACCCAAACACACAGGGTGCAACTCCTTTATGATGGGATCAAATCTGCATTTTGGTCTTTTAGAGCAAACAGTTGAAACACAGGCTGCGATAGAAAAAACTGAACATTTCTGTATATATTTACAGACACATAAACCATGAGCACAAGCTAAAGAAACCTCTATAACTCTCAACCAAAACAAGAACAGGAGTTCTTCTGTTCTCCTTCCTCTTTTATATTTCCAGCTCTATATTTTATTTTCTTCTTTTTTATTTGATGTAAAGTTTTATAAATACATTAGAGCCGGGAGTGCAGAAGTCTGTGCCAGTGTTGGTACTCTGCAGGAAGGTTCCATTGTTGCTTTTGGACAAACTATTGTTTTTCTCTGGTAAAAAGGCATGTCTGCCTGTGTTTTAAATATTATAAGAATATTAACAGTCTTTCTCTTTGAGTAAAAGCCTTGAGTGAAGCTCTGCTCCACAAACACTGAAGGAACATTCAGTCTGAACACGTTTGTGATTTATACTRTTCAACAAGGTAACAAAATAAGATCTGCTTGGACTCTGGAGTCTGTGCTTTCCACAGCCAGCCACAGTGTCAGTGCCTGGCGCCGGCCCAACCCGACCCYCTGAACTATACCCGTGTTGTGGAGTGGCCGTGGGGCAGGTTGCTACTGTTCTGGCTGCCAGCGAACGTGTTGAAGTTGTGCAGCGGCTGCAGGCCAGCCAGGGAGGTGGGGATCATGGTGATGGTGCTGGGCGACATCAGGGGGATGTCGTCGGGCGAGCGGCGCAGGGTCAGGGTGTAGTCGGGCGGGCAGGCGAGTCGGAGCGCGTCGTGACTCTGCAGGGACTCACACTCATGGTGCTCCAGCTGCTGCTGCTTCATCTGCAGGGACACCAGCTCCTCGTTCAGGTGGGCCACGTCGTTGGTGGTGGACGGAGCGCTGGCCGGGGTGGAGCTGCGCTGCGGGGTGGGAACGCTCCGGTTGGTCTCGTGGCGCCGCTTGTCCTTCTTGTAGTAGAGCGCAGCGAAGGCCAGGATGTTGAGGAAGAGCAGCGAGGCGCCCACAGCGATGGTGACGCTCAGCTCCGTGGAGTAGTCCCGTTTGGTTTCGATGACCACCGTGGACTCGTTGGTCAGGTCGCCACTCCTCCGCTGGTCGGTGGTCTGTTTGACGTTCACTGAGGGGACGCCCGGGTGGCGGGTGGTGGACGGCCAGTTGTTTTTACCCGGGAAGCGTTTGGTGTAAGGGTAGGGGGTGGTGTCCTGAGGGGGGATCTTGGTGGTGGTGGACACATACTGGAAGAGCCCGTTGATATCGTGGAGGTGTGGAACCAGCTCCAGCCAGAAGGCCACCTTCGTAGCTCTGTAGTGGTCTCGCACTCGAGGTTTGAGACCTATGTGTAGATACAGCTGGTCTTTGGGGTTGTACTTGGTCCAGGCCACCTCCTCAAAGCGGTTCGGCTTTGTGTGGATGAACTTTGTATCCTGTGGGACTGGCTGGTTGGGATCTCTGAAAGAACATAAACCAAACAAAGACAGGATGTAAACATGAATATATAAAACGTTTAAAACAACTGAAACAAATCAGTCCAGCACTGGGGGGCCCAAAGGGCCATGGTCTGGATCTGAACTCAGAAATGTGTGTTTGAAAGTGTCCTTTAAGCTTTGTATAAAACTGTATGTAGCAGTTCAAACACAGAAACACCAAATGGTCTTAAACTACATTTAAATCAAACATTTCCAACAGTTACATCTTCTTAGGTAATCATTTACTTTATAACTCTCACTCTGCTGGGCCATAGGGCCAAGTGTTGCATCATTGTGAAGCTTTTTAAATATGAAGTGAAATTCCTGATGACATCATTTTAGACCAATCAAATGTAAGATTTTAAACCTGGGCTCTTGTAATGAAAACCAGCTAGTAGCCAGGCCAGGGGATAAGTTAATAAATTACAGCAAACTGTGGATCATTTTGAAGCTTTTTAAAGAATATAAAAATAATAACTCATAATTTTAAAAATRCTCATTATGACTGATTATTCCAGCAAAGTTCCCTTTTATTATATTAGAACTCAAATTTGTCGTATTTTTTAATGTGAAGGGCAATAACTGAGTAAATTTAAATATCAGTTGATTTAAGTAAAAGCTAATGGACCACAGTTTAATTTCAGACGGGGGGTCTGTCTGCAGGGAGTTCACGTGTTTTCACTCTGTGCTGGTTTCTCCTCCACAGACTAAAACCTGATGATGTCAGCTCAAAGCAGAGCTTCAAAAACAAACCTGTCATCCTGGTTAAATAAAGGTTGGTTTAAGTTTCCACGTATTTCACCTGAAGAACAGAGAAACATTCTGATTCTACGTTTTAATAAGTTTCTTTTTGTTGAACTTTCTGGAGAAAATAATGGAAAACTGTTCAAATGTGTGTGACTGTTTAAAAAGAATAAACACAAATAAAAGAATAAAGTGCACTTCACTTTGAAATGAGCCTAATTTAAACATGATTTAACTGGTATATTCAGGTCATTTAAACTCAGAGTTGAGTTGTAATCAGGTGGAAACATCCCAGTGGTTCCAGCAGTTTATAAATTCAAACTGTTTCACAGAGTAAAAGTTGCACAGAGCGTCTCCAGCTCCTCCTGACTCAAGGCTGTTGCTGTGTGTGTTTGCAGATTTAAATCGACTCTTGCTGTGAAAACCAGCGGACCYTCCAAACACTATAATTGCTTTGTTTCAGAAGTCTCTGGTCAGCTTGGTCTGCTCCATTACTTGGACCCGGTTCTGTCTCTGCCTTGTTAAGAACCTGTCTAAACCAGTGGAAAGCTCCAAACTGACTGAAGTCCAGCAGTGCTGACTGTGCAGGAGTGGGATCCTCTGACTGAACACAGGACCCAGCAGCTCTGTGGTCCGCTCCGTTATCCAGAACTGAACCAATAGTTTGGCTCAGTGCTCMCTGTGATGTGGGCCCAGTCTCTGCCAGCAGCCAATCCTCCTCAAATATGAGAAGTTTTCAGGGAGGATTGAGCTGAGCAGCTTTAAAGAGAAGCTGGCACTGGCACATGTAGACAACAAAGAGCRGAAGGCTGCTGGAAACTTTAGCTTTTATAATAACGTTTCTTTTTAACCCATTCCTGGAAGAAGGGAAATCCATTTAAAGAGGACAGAATGAAGAGGAAGATATTACAACAGTTCGACTGTCTGCTGAAGATCTGAAATATTGACACCAATAACACCAATAACACCAACCAATCCAACCAATAACACCAACACCAATAACACCAATAACACCAACACCAATAACACCAATAACACCAACACCAATAACACCAATAACACCAACACCAATAACACCAATAACACCAACACCAATAACACCAATAACACCAACACCAATAACACCAATAACACCAACACCAATAACACCAATAACACCAACACCAATAACACCAATAACACCAACACCAATAACACCAATAACACCAACACCAATAACACCAATAACACCA